TGACCCTGAACCTTTAGTGGTAAGCCCATGCAAATGCTATTGCAGGATAGGCTATTACCGTTGGCCACATGAATCGTAAAAAGCCGTTGTTGGTTGAACCGGGAGTCCCATTTTATCCACCAAGACTTGAGTTATGAAGTTAAGGGAACTGCCACTGTCTATGAGGATTGACACTTGGCATCCCTGGATTAGCCCTACAACTCTCATTGTTTGAGGGGACGCAAGTCCCATAAGGGAACTGCCACTGTGATGGCATCAGTGAAGTTTGCCCAAGTTTGACGAGGGTGCCCCCGTCGGTACCATTGAAACCAGAGGATAGCTTCCCCTTCAAGATGCATAGAAGCCAGAGCTACCCTGTCTTGCCAAGGTGTCTCATGGTAATTGAAGTACCGTTCGGCTATGAGAATCCAGGGAGTTGGGTCGCCGCCTGAGAAGATGGGGAAATCGATTTTGGCTGCTCTCGTTGCCGCCAGCCCTGTTCTGCGGTTGTTTTCATTGCTGCGCTCTTCTTGGCTTCCTCTGTCGTTGTTCGTTGCCACCTGCTCCATCCGATTGAGGAGAGCAGTGAAACCTTCCTTCATTTCTTTGAGATCTGAAGACATTCGATGGATCTCTACCTCCATCTGATCCACTCGGGTGTCTACTGACGTGTTTCTTGTGTTGGTCATGCTGGCTCTGATACCAACTTGTTAGGAACCTGCCTAACTCCAGGCTCTTTGAGGGAGCCAACCTCCTGAATTTGTTGGAAGGAGAGAGAGAGAGAGATTAATGCCGAAAGAATTCCTGTCTTATTTCTCTTTGTGCTTCACTACTTATACTGTTTACAATATTTGAATTCTTTCTGTTACAGCTGTTGTAAGTGGACGGTTAGTTCTGCTGACGTGGCCTCCTCTTGTAAAACTGATTAACTGATTTTTGTTGGTCTGTTCCAGTAGTCTTTTCAGAGTCACTTATATCCAAGGTTCAAAATATCGACGTGATACGCCCAATATGGGGTGTATCGTATCTTTGAACCCCGATACACCTGTTTACAGGTGTTTTTACAAAACCATATGTGTATATATTATGGAAGGGGTGTGTGTGTAATTATTCATAACTAAAATTTGAAAACAAAAAACTAAAAAAAAATACAATGTGTATTGACCTTCTCCAATTTGAACCTTGTTTATATCAATCATGCAGGGGGTTGTAGTGTCCTTTCAGTTGGAGAGATTCGTATTCTTTGTTTCTTTGTGGGTTTTGACCTTCTCCAATTATTTTTCTTTAATTATAAATAAACCATTATATGTTATGGTTTTAATTACATTTGTTATAATGTTTGGCTCATTTGGTTTGGGAATTAATCATTTTTTTTGCTGTTCCAATCGAGAATAAAGCCTGATAACTAGTGAAATTTCATCTTCCTTTCTTCTAATCTAAGTTAAAAGGGAAAAAATGCTTACTTTTCAAGGCCATTTGAGATTTGCCACAAATAACAAAGATTTCATTGCTAGGGATCTTGATATTTTTCTCCTGTTTATTGTTCCTTGATGACATTTTTTATTCCTTTAGCCTGACTTACTTTAGTGCCTTGCAAGTTCATAGATTGTTTAAGGTGTCACATTTCAATGTACTTAATACATTCCTTTTAGATACTTTGAGAAAGCTCAGTAATTGTTACTGATAAAAAGTAGTGCTACATTACTAAATTAATTTTATTGACATGGAATGTAGTCTGACTAAACATTATGTTGATGAATGTCTACAGTGTTTTGGAAGTCATGATAACGAGAATGTTTCCAAGGGATCAACAGACAATATGAAAGAAGCTACTAATTCAGAAAAAGAAGAAACCAAAAGGTCACCTGAAGAACTTGAGCCCAAGAAAGAAGTAAAAGATCATAATTCTGAAGATGGGGACAAAATGGAAGGATCACCAGTTTTAGGTCTTTTGACAGAAGGAAAAACACCTAATGAAACTGAGGGATCTGAAGTTGTCGAGTCTGATGTTCCTAGTGAGGAAATGATAAAGAAGGCTGTCAAAAAAAGAGCTGCTCATTTCAGAGAAAATTCTGAGTATGCTACTTCATTTATTGAATGGCTTGTCAGCCAATTATTATTATTATTATTTTTACACTTGTTGCTGTTTAGGTAATTATCCAAGTACTTGTCATACTATTTCAGGACACTCACCATGGTAGGAGCTCGTCGGTTATTGGAAGAAGATCTTGGACTTGAAAAAAATTCTCTTGACCCCTATAAAAAATTCATAAGTCAGCTGCTAGATGAGGTACACGTATTTTTTTGAAGTAAATGCATTGCAACTGGTTGTAGCATAGAGTCCAAATTTAGTGTCACTTATTTGCTATATGCCAGGTAATTCAATCTCCTGAAATTGCCAAATCTGCAAATGGGGTTAAGAAAAAGAAAGCTTCTCGTGGGAAGGTATCTAAAAGAGATACCAAAGGTCAAAGCTCTGAGTCTTTAGACAGTGGAGGTGGCGAGGTTGATGAAGATGAGGTGAAACCTAAAAGGGGAACTGCTCCAAAAGGAAGATCAAGAAGCTCTGAAGTATCAAAAAGCCACAAAAGTTCTGCAGAAGAAACTAAAGCATCGAGCAACAAGAGGAAGAGACCTGTAGAACCAACATCAGAGTCAGGGGAAAGTAGTGACATTAAAGATGGTCAAGACTTTTCTGAAGACGGTCAGTCTGAGTCTTCTGCTGATGAGCCAGTCAAGGTGATTTATGATTGTTTGTTATTTCTAAGGAATTTCTTATAAACTTCAAATTAATTAAACTTCTGTATGTAAATCATCTTATTGAAATGCAGAAGAAAAGAGAAGTTTCCAATAATGTATATGGTAAACGGGTGGAGAATCTAAAATCAATAATCAAATCGTGTGGGATGAGGTACTCTGACTCACTGTTATCATTGCCATCTTCTTTTGTTTTAATAGTCACAAGTTCTTTGGTTTGTTATTTTTCTTGAATTACAGCATCCCTCCTTCAGTTTACAAGAGAGCTAAGCAGGCTCCTGAGAATAAACGTGAGTCATACCTTATAAAGGAGTTGGAAGAGATTCTTGCAAAGGAAGGACTCTCTACAAATCCTTCTGAAAAAGGTGAGCCTTGACCAACTTCTAGAACCCTTGTTTAACCCTAGTTCCCGGAAGGAAATGTAAGACATCTCTATTGCCAATTTGGGAAATTTCCTTCTTTTCACCTTGATGGATTTCTTTTGTTTATTTAATCAATTATTTTTGCTTTTCTATTTTATTAGGTGTTCATGTTCAACCTTGATTGGGTCATAGGTGTGTTGACTTTGTTATTCTAGTATATTTCTTGCATACTGCCTCTCACCTTTTCTTGGAGGCTAAAGTTGTCATTGTGTTCACTGCTGCAAACTACTGGATATTTTCAGATTTTAGGTTTTGAGCTTGCATACCTACTAGATTATTTGCTATGTTATTTCATCTCTTTCACTATGGATCTTTTCGGTGAAATAAAATATTCTAAGCTTTTGCTATTTTTATACTCTTAAACTTGTTCAGTATTTTGTGATATGCATCTTGACTTTTTCCTTTAATATTACTCCATTTGTGCCATTCTGATTAGTTATGGTGACTGAAAAGTAGATACTCAAGACCATTGACTGGGGTAACATAATAACATGCTTTGGTCAATCCATGCACATAAATATGAAGGCATGGGTTATTATTATTATTATGTTTTGGGTTCATGGGGCTACACTACACAATCCATACTTCAAATCCACAATCCCCTCAGATCCGGGTGAATATGACTGGATTTACGCTACAACAGACCATCCACCAAAATGTTGATCTTGATTTCTAATTTTTGCCAATTAACTTTGTGTGATCTTTATCTTAAGAAATCAAGACGGTTAGGAAGAAGAAGGAAAGAGCAAAGGAGCTTGAGGGAATTGACATGAGCAATATCGTGTCAAGTTCCCGCAGGAGGTCTACTGCTAGTTATGTAATCCCTCCAAAGCCACAAAAAGCAGAGATTGATAGCACTGAAGAGGAAGATGATGCTGATGGTGATGATGATGATGAAGATGATGAGGATGATGCTAGTGATAGTGAAGGCATGAGTGAAGGTAAGTGAATATAAATATGTTGGTTAATGCCCCTTTTTCTTCGTACATACTGCTTTATTATAACAGGGACTTTGGTGGCTCGTATTTTACCACGCCCCTCTTGGGAGTACCATAACATGCTCATCCAGCCATTGTTGCATGAACTGTTTGACATAAGTGCTATTGATTTTTCATATTACATTCTTTTTACTACTTTGCGACAGACTTGTCATCCTTGGATTGGTAGGTAAATCTAGGGGGTGTTGAACAACATGGTAGGTTTTGTTTTTGAAAACAAAAACAACTGCCATATCCGATAACATGGTTGGTTTTCTTTCTGAAAATAGAAACAAACTGTTACATCAGACAGTTTGGTTAGTTTTGTTTTAGAAAACGAAAACAACTACCACATCAGAGAAATTATATTGTATTTTGGCTGATATGGCAGCTGTTTTTGTTTTCAAAAGAAACTAACCATTTTGTGAAACATCCCCACTGGATTCAGAATTGGTTAGCCAAGTACTTCTCTCCGGATCCTTACACAGTTTAGGCATACTTTTTTTTTTTTTCTGTTCAGGATTTTGAGGGGTGGGGTTGGTACTTGGTATATCGTTTAGGTCACTAGTGAAACTCAATTGGACTCCATGAGAGGCTCTTTTGGTCAATGTACGTTCACAACTGACACAAAAGGGCTGCCTTGGTCATTGAAAACCTCTGCGGTCTTTTATCCAGAATTATTGACCAAACTGCCCCATCAGGGTATACTTGAGCTCTTCTAGCACTCCCCCATATAGTTTTCTTGCCATTCTTCCTTTATGGGCGTGTCTCAATCTTTGTGTAGTCTTTCCCTTTGTTATATGCTTTTCTTTTGTATATTTTTGTTAGTAGTCCTTCACTACATGTTCCTGATTGGCAGCTATTTTTCTTTCTTTTCTCAGATGCTGAGGATGAGAGTGATTAGTCCTGAAGTAAAAGAATTGCAAACCGGGACATGGAATGCCAGAGGTCCTGTTGATAAAGAATACGGTTTTTGTTTTTCGTTTTCTTTTTCTTTCCGTTTTTGCAGGAACAGCTGGTTTTTGAACGGCATTTGCTGAGTTTGAGCCTTTTATTTTTCCTTTTTTGTTCTTTTTATGGGTTGTTGTATGTAAAGACCAATTAGAGATCCACCCTTACATGTGTATAATAGTCTCTATGTTATTAGGCTATAAACGAGATAGTGAAAATGGTACCAAATTATCTGTTAGTTAATTATCTGTTAGTTAATTATCTGTTTTTTAATCTGTTGCTTTTGGCTTATTCTTTAGTCTTAAGTTAAATCCCAGTGCATGGGTCCCTCATTTTCTTGAAATTTGAAAATATTCCAGGAGGGATTTGTATCCACTGAGTTTGAGTTAAATGGTTTTGACCATAGGGTCGAAAAAGAATGAAGTTAATGAGAGAGATGAGACGGGATCTCTTGAAAGCAATAGCTCTTTATCAGCTGCATATATTGGGAACATCTCCCCTTGAATTTAGCATATACTAGTCGGGACCCATGCGATACATATGGGCTTTGTTATGTGAAATTGAAGGAGCTCCTGATATTCCCAATCGAATTAAGTCGGTTCAAGTCCAACTCAAGCATTGTTTTTTGGGTTTAGTTTGTCCAAGTATAATTTTACACTATTAATGATGGAAGTGATTGCGAGGCCTGATGGGGGTACTTCTGAGCGAGTCAGACAATTGGATGCTTGTTTTTTTTTGTTTTTTGTTGGGCTCTTTCATGCTTGTTTTTTTAGGGAGTTCCCGGTGTTTTGATTAGGTTCCAGTTTGGATCCTCTTATAAAAGTGCTTTTTTTTTTGACAAGAGGAGACAAGAGAAGCTTTACGAGATAATTTTTCATTCTTCCAAAAAGTGATACAAAGATGCATATATATTGCTGGGACAAGACAACAAAACAGAGCATCAAGAGAAACAGAACAGGGCATGTGGCTTACATCTAAAATACCCAACAGAAAGAAACTTTTAATAAGTTACATACATAAATAAAACAAGAAAATCTGTGGGCCCAGGTGTAATGCAGAAAAGGGTGAGACAAGTTTGAATTTTTTCTAACACTCCATAATTGAAACTCTCTCAACACCAAGTAAATTTCTTAATTGCAGAAGCTTTCTTTTGGAAGCACTTTGGTGAACAAATCTGCAATTTGGTCCCTCGTACTGCAATATTCAAGCTTGATTTCGTCCTTTGTCACGATCTCTCTAATAAAATGATGACGGATTTCAATATGCTTATGCTTAGTTCTCCAGTAAAATACAGGATTTTTTGTCATGGCAATAGTCGACTTGTTGTCATAGTACAATTCAGTAGCACCTTCTTGGTTTTGCTTCGAGTCAGACAAAATTCTTCTCAAGCACACTACTTGACAAGCAGCATTGGTGGCAGTAATGTACTCTGCTTCTGAACTTGAAAGAGCTACTGATTGTTTCTTCTTTATTGCCCAAGAGATTAATCCAGATCCAAGACTGATTGCATAACCTAATGTGTTCTTCTTGTCCTTTGCACAACCAGCCCAATCACTGTTAGTATAAGCAACAAGCTTGAAACTTTCTACACAATGGTACCTGATGCCAAGGTTTAGTGTTCCACGAACATATCTTAGAATAACTCTCTAAATTTGCAGCACCAAAGTGATGTTTACTTGGGTTTTGCATGAACCTGGAAATTAAGATGACTGCAAACATAATGTCAGACCTTGTTTGAGTGATATAAATCAACCCACCAACCATGCTTCTAAATTCTTTAGCATTTGCCTTTTCACTTCCATCTTCCAAGGCGAGCTTTTCACTTGAGTTCATGGGAGTTTTTGCAGCCTTGCATTCAGACCTGTGAAATTTTTTCAACAAGTCACGGCTATAGTTTTCTTGACACACAAAAATCCCTTTGGCATCTTGGGTTATTTGCATTTCCAAGAAAGAGTGTAAAAGCTCCAAATCTGTCATCATCTTTTTTCTTTTAAATTCATTAATCATGGAAAGTGAATTACTTGTGAATATCATATTATCAACATAAAGGCACACTATGAGTATTTCATCCATACCTTGGGCTTTCACATAGAGAGTTGGTTCACTCTCACTCTGAAAGTTGTTGTCAAGAAAGTATTTGTCAATTTTACTGTTTAAGACCATACAAGGCTTTATCCAACTTGTAAGCCTTGTCTTCCATCCCTTTCACTTCAAATCTAGGGGACTGCTCCACATGGACATCTTCATGCAACTCCAAGGCTGATTTCATATCAAGTTGGAAGACTTTCCATCCTTTTTCAGCTGCCAAGGCCAGCACAGTTCTGATGGTATCAATTCTTGCAACTGGGGAGAATGTTTCTAAAAAATCAACACTTGGAAGTTGAGTATCCTTTTACAACCAGCCGGGCCTTATGGTTTAGAAGAGGCCAACTAGGCTCTGAAGCAAAGTATGCAAAATCACAAGATTGGTAAATTTCAGCTAGGCTTCATACCCTTCTTGGAGATGATTCCGGAAATTCAATTTGTGAGGATGTTTGTGGGCTTGATGTGATGGTACTTTCTTGAGGTTCAGAAACATAATCTTCCTCTTCAATAAGAGGACTTTCTTTTTGCTTTCAACCCAACTCCAAGCCTCATCTTCATTGAAAATTACACTGTGACTCATAATATGTTTTCTTGTTTTCGGGATTATATAGTCTATAGCCTTTTGTTTCATGGTTGTACCCAATGAAAATGCACTTTATGCTTTTGTCATCTAATTTTCCTCTCATTTCTAATGGAGCATGGCATAGGTTATCAAACCAAATACTTTCAAATGGCTCATATTAGGCTTCCTACCATACCGGAGTTTTTCCTTTAGCTGCTTTTGTAGGAAACCAATTCAGAAGGTACACCATTGTAGCTACTGCTTCAACCCAAAATGTCTTTGGAAGACCTTTTTCTTTTAGCATACACCTTGCACCTTCAACTACAGTCATATTTTTTTCTCTCTGCAACTCTATTTTGTTGCAGAGTGGACTTTGCTGTGAGCTTTCTATGGATGCCTGCATTGTTGCAAGAATTAATAAATTCTTTGGTAGTGAATTCACCACCCCTATTAGTACGCAATGTTTTAAGAGGATACCCACTTTGCTTTTCAACAAGAGCTTTGAATTGAAAGAAAACATGCAAGGTGTCAAATTTTTGTGAAAGAAGAAGATACACCCAAGTTATCCTAGTAAAGTCATCAACAAGTATGAAAAAATATCAGCTTCCACCAAGAGAAGTGGCACGCATGGGACCACACAAACCTGCATGCACAAGTTGTAATGGCTCACTTGCCCTCCAAGATTTACCCGATTGGGAGGCTTATGATGGTGAGCCTCTGCCTGTGTAAAGTAATGTTATAATGCAAACTTGAAAGTTGAGATAGAAATGAAAATATGAACGATACAAATACATACAAAATGTAAGGTTTTGCACTATAAATTTGTATTTATACTTCTTCCAACTGAGCCTAAGGCTCCATTTGTTTGCAATACAAATACTGAATCGGGGTATTTATGTATTGCAGTTCACATTTGCGAGCGTTTGTTTGACATTTTTGTACTCTTAAAAAAGAACATTACTGTACCTATTTTTTATATACAATTTTGTATTATTTTGATAATCAACTTTTTAACCAAAGTTAAGGTATTGGAGCATAAAGTAGTTGGAACATTTAATGATGGGTTCCACACTTAGCACGGATTTCAAACAAACAAGATGAATGCCAAAACGGTTTAAAATCTGAACTGTATTTACATTCATGAACCGAAAAAAGGGTAAATATGCAGTGTACATATTTACATTTGCATTGCAACCAAACACAGCCTAAATTGCTAAATTTAATTCAAGGTAATAAAATGATATTTATGATTCCCAACTTATATGGGCTCAGATCTGCTACCCACTACTACTTGTTCTCAAATCCCTACCCACCAGAACTAACAGTTGTGCATTGGGAATATCTCCTTTTTCATTCAGAGGAAGATGTTCCCAATACACGGCGGTGTTTCATGGATATAGATGTTTGAACAAGTAATGGGTAGCAGATGGGGAGGCACATTATATATGAAAAAGAATAGAGGTAGGACTTGGCTATTTGTTTGGTGGTGAGGTAAGAAGTAAGATGAATGAGTGATCATGGCCATCTCGTTTAATTTCTTTTTGTACGTCTGGATTCATTATGTGATCGGATGGAATAGAGAGTTAAGAAAAGAAATGGTTTTATAAAATAAATTTTCATGAAATTATTTCTTAGGATCGATATTGATTTTCTGTTGGTTGATTGAAGAAGAGAAAAATTGAAAATCCATTTGCAGTTGGTAAATGGGAAGAGAATTGAAGGGTCTTTTCACCGTAGAGCTTACATGGACTTCTTTCTTCTTTCATTTCTCATACATGGTTATCTATTTAAATTAAATTATGAATTTTAAAAAATATAAAAATTCATAATAAAACTCTCTTATGTCTTAATTTTCTCTATTAAAATTAATCTTTATTAATAATCACTCTTAAAACTCTGTCTCTCTCTCTCTCAATGGTTAATGTTTGTAACATCATCACCCTTCCCTATGAGATCCGAGATTACATATGTGCCCCACATGCACATCTTAGCGTGCATTGGGAACATTTTTCAAAGATGTCAGTGAAAAATGTTCCCAATACACGGTTGAGATATGCTGTGGGGCACAGATGTGAGTCATGTGACATGTCCTTTTGACTCTCTTCATAAAAAAGCCAGATATAAATTAGATGGATTGAGTTTGAGATAAGAACCAATTCAGGACTAACCTTACACATGGACCCGTTGTCAAACTCCAAATTTAACCTACCCAAATTTCTATTCATCTACATTCCTTGCATTTTTTTTTTAATTAGCAACTTCATCATAGGAGAAGGGTTCTATTTATAATTTTGATGCATATAGAAGGGTTCCACTTGGGGCCTAGAAATTGAGACGAATCGAATTAATCCTGTACATCTTTTCCTTTAAAACTCAACCTCGAAAGCAATATGAAAGTTTGATAAAGGAAGTAATTAATTTTCCATGGAAGAGAGGCCAATTGGGACATGCATGGATTTCCTGAAGGGATTTCTATTCATAAATGCATGGACCACTGTGCAAATTGGATGGGCATTCCTTAGCTTATTCTTACAAATTTATTGCGGTTTCGATGTCAATTTGGGTATTGGCTTCAGGCATGCTTCCACTTCCCATAAGACAGAACCATTTCTTTTATGAACCCAAT